ACGATGTATCTCGCTGCATTGCACGAGTACGCTTCTAGTATATATATATATATATATATATATATATATATATATATGAGAAATCAAATAGAATAACTTGACATTATAAGATTTGAGTACATAGGTGGACCTAGTTAAGCGTCATGGATGGCACGTGCCACCGTATCGTTTCTCAACTAAAGGGTAAAAAATTTGGGTTTCGTGAACGGTGCAACCGTATTAATTTATTGTGTGTCATTGTATGTATTTTGAAACTACAATGAGAACAAATTTTATTTGGTAGAGTTGGTTTGCAAGGCTTTTATTCCACCCCACACCCAAATCCGAATCATGTTAGTGTCATTTTCTTAGTCAAACGGTGCAACCGTTTGAAAAAAATTATGTATATTTGTTTCTTATAATCAAACGGTGTCATCGTTTGAAAAAAAAAAACCATATATATTTTTTTTCTTATGATCAAATGGTGTCACCGTTTAAAAAAAATTATGGGTCCGTCCCTGGAAGAAAAATAAATTATTACGGTGGATGTATTTAATATCATTGTGAAAAAATGTTATTTGAGTTCTAAATAATTTTAAAAAATTATTAGTGGTGTCTTTTAAACTCTTCATAACAAAAATCGATTAAATATTCATTTTAACTTGGTTTAATACTTCAAAATAATTTATAAATAAAAAAGGCAGATGATATATGTATAAGGTAACATTGTAATATTTGATCTGAGTATTTCAAAATCTTGAATTTGGTTATTTTGGTCATCAATATATACACTAAAAAAGCAACAATTGACGATGAGGTGGTTTCATATCAAATTTAGTATCGTTTTCTATTAGTGTATTATTTGATAAATGAACGATCAGACCACTTAACTTACTTCAATATTTTTTCCTACAATAAATTATTGCCACCATGCAACGCACGGTGCATAACACTAGCTCACTTTATACTAACATTGTGACTGAAACAGTTGGAGATTATGCCACCTGCGTAACCCACTTCTTCCACTAAAATAATTAGGGAAACCAGATATTATGTAAACTGCACAAATACTTGCACGCATAATGTCTGGATGGCAGGTCTATATGGGTTACACTCTTCTATGGACTTGCATAATGTTTAGTTTTTCTGAATGTAATGTTGGGAGTAGATTGTGTAAGTGTTATTTGCATGATCTTCGACTATCTCGGTCAATTTGTTCAATAGATGGCTATAAAGTTAAGATAGGAGGCATGATTGACTATTTTGGTCAATTTCTCAGTTTAAATGTTATCAAATTTCCTGGTTTCAAGCTTTTAATATAGCTTTTTTAAGCTTTGAAGGATAGTAAGATTGTTCGGCAGTTGTTGAATGGTTTGATGACAAATGATTAAGAGACTTTGCATTGATATAGTGCAGAATGAAATGCGGTTGTTTGATTACTATTCTGAATGAACAGTCTAAATTGAAACGTGGTGCTGATTACTATGCTATAAGAAAATAAGTTATGTCTTCTCCATCAATAATTGTTTTGGGCGTAGTGGTAAGCGTTTGGATCCTAACACCTAGTTTGAATGACAACAAAGTACCAATTTGACCCTCTGTATCATTTAGCTCTGAATGAAATATAGTTGTTTGATAAATATATGAATAAAATAATTACTTTGCAAATATAAATTATATTTTCAAAATATCACTCGTTCAAAACAACATTTTATATTAATCCAAACAAGCATTAGCATTACCTGTTCAAGTTTTACATTAAACAAAAACATAACAATCAAATTACATATGATAGTTTTTCAGCAATTCTTA